TCAGGGAATGTTTGTGCTGGGGTTTTACTTCTCTGAGTCTTAACTCTGCCACCTAAATACGGTCTGATGATGCCAGAGGATGAGGAGGCCTTATGTTCTCCGCTTACGAAGGACACCGCAGCCTGGAGACGCAGTCGTATCCTTTGGGTCTGCCGTGAATGGGGTTCTGGATTTTCAAAGTGCCATCGTTACTCCTTCCAGGTGGGCTGAGACATGGCCACTGGCAAGATCCATCGGTCCATGGACTCCTTCAAGATGGCTGGTGGATTCCAGAGCAAAGTCGTAGCACCTCGTCTTCCGAAGCTGATCAGAGAGGCAGAAGAATCTGTACCTGTAAGTACCTGCTGAGGCCAGGTAGGAGCTGTTAATGCTGGAAGCTCCCCCTGTGTCCCTCCTGCTATCTAGCAGCACGGTGAAGCTGGGCACCACCTCCCCATCTCTTTGCTGCCGTGCTTCTGCGGGAGGCGGCCATCGTGGTGCAGTGGGGGTTGGGCTGTGCGCTGCTTCAGGGAAGGTGCAGAGTCTTGCCCGGATGTGCCACTGGAGCCAAGTTAAACGGATGCACTGGGCATGGCACTGGGATAGCTGAAGCATGAGCCTGTGCTTCTTTCTGTCCTCTTTGTGTGGGCAGTAATGTCTTCTGTCACGTAGACATGCTTGCCAGTGCTGCTCCAACCATACCTGCCCTCCAGGCAGCTGGGCACGTGGTGGGCTGCTCAAAACTCTGCCTGAAGACTTGCCAGACAATGGTTGATCCTGGATAGAATAGCTTCCAAACCAGTTATTTTATTGGATCTTGTGTCCTGTGCAGAGCACAGATCCAGCCCTGCAAACCACAGTGGAGTCAGGGCAATTCCTCCTTCCCATCCACCAATGTCCCCTTTGACTGGAGCTGGCTTGACTGGATGTGACCCAGTGCTGAGGCTCTGTCAAGGAGACATCTCCCTGTGTTTCTGTGGAGGGTGCTGTGAGGCCAGGACAGAGAGAAAGTGGCACTTGAACAAGAAAAGCCTTTCTGAGCGGAGGTGTTTCTGTAGCTCTTGTTGGTGTTTTGCATTTCAGCTGACTCCCTCTGCCTTCCTGAAGGAGATGTCTCTCCCCACCAAGCAGAGGCTGGCCGGCACTCGGGAGACGAGGCAGTCCCGGATTATCCAGCTCCTGGACATGAGTGACAGCTCCCATCAGAAGGTAGCCTTTTCCTGCCCTTTTCCTTGCTGTTTGTGACATTTGAAGAGGGGACGTGCTTGTGAGAGGCTTGCCTCCAGCTCATCTAAGTACCTCAAGGACTAGGTCCTCTTGTCCTTTCAAAGCGCTGGTGATGGTGAGGTTCCTTCTGCTGGGGAGAAAGCTGAAACGCTTTTCCCCGGTGAGACGTTGAACTCCTGATCTGCACCAAGCCAATTTAAATAACCTCTGCTGAGTTCGGTGGGGTTCGCTGCAGTTCAGCTGCTATTGCTGAAGCATGATCAAGGGGGAAGGCTGGGGCAGGACACGAGGGCATGAGCTTGCCATTTTCCATCCTCCCTCTGGAATAGCTCCTGTTTCCGTAGAGTGAGCTGGGCAGATGTACTCACCAAGAGACTGTGCTTCTCTGGAGATCAGTGTTGGATTCTCGTTCGTGAATCTTTCTCCCGATAGCTGAACCTCTCGCTTCTCTGTCTTGTATCTCCAGTTCTCAGCAGTTGACCCGCAACAGAGCTTGTTTCAGCCTTTCCCATCAGAGGTGGTGTTTCAGAGCTACATCCCCTTCGAGGTCTATGAAATGCCACTGACTCTGTGGAACAAGGACAAGGTAAGTGGTGGGACCTGGAGGTTTAACACTGTGCTGGAAGAGGAGAGCAGTGTAATTCCCGTAGTGCACAGCACAGCAAGTTTCCTGCTGCAGCACAGCACATTCAAACTAAGGTGTCTCCCCACCTTTATTTTGCAAGATAGTGGAAACCTTCCCATGCTGGGGATTCTCCCCCTGATTTTGGCCACGCGTTGGTGGTATCTAACGTGAAGGAGCTTTTGTAGTCAGCATGCTTCCCCTTGAAAGCCCTGGATTGGTGGGAATGTTGAGGGCTGTACAGTTCTGACCTGGTCTCATGCTTCACCTCGAGCGTGCACCACGTCCTGGTGGCTCCTTGGTTCATCTCGGGTCTGCCGCCCCCAGCCTGTTCAGCTGCCTCCGTGCAGCTCCTGGCAAGGCACAGGGCTTGGATCTTCTCCACTTCATGCTGGAACAAGTTATAATTAGTGGCATTAGCCCTCCAGGAAAGGTGTTTTGAAACAGCAGTGGACACAGAGTGATTTAGCAGAAACAGTGGGAGGCCTTTAGGTGCCACTTTAGGCTCCTGCTGAGCATAATTCAGTTCTGCTCAGGTTTTTTTAAGACAACGTGGCTCTCTGCTTTCCCTTTGGAGAACGGCAGCACATCCGGAGTAACGTGCTCTTGAAGGTCTCCACCTTTACTTGAAAAAACTGTGATCGTTCTCAGATTTCCCAAGAAAGTTGAGAAGGGAAAAGTTGAAAAATGTCAGCAATTTTGTTCGACTGTAAAGAGGAAAATTGAGACCTTTTGAATTTGGCAGGGGAAACATTTGCTCGAATGAGGCACGTGCCAAGAGCAAGCTGGTGGGAAAAGACAGGAGAGAGGAAAGCAGAGGAGTTAAAAAGTGCTCTGGGAGAGAACGTTGCACACACGAGGGTTTCTCTCAACACGTAGCAGTAAGTGCCCTGGAAGCAGAGAAAGGTCAGAAAAAGGAAGGTGTAATTAAAGATACTGTTCTGTAATGAAGAGGAAGGTGTTTGCAAGAGAGGAGGGCAGGCTGGGAAGATGGAAGTGCACACGAGAGCAGGTGGATTAGCCCCCTCTCCAAGTCCGCCTGTCGGGGCTAACACAGAAACGGACAAAAAAAAGCTGTCGGGGCGAATGGCAGGTGGAGGAACAGCAAGAGTCAAAATATACTCTGAGATAACAGAACAGATTTTGGCAGGGACGTGCTTGAAAATGGAAGACCCTTTGGTGAGGAAGGATGCAGGTGTGGTCCCTCGGTTATTCCTGGAGAGTACTGTGCCATTCCTGGCACAGCGTTTAGCTTGGGAAAAGATGCAGTGTAGGTGCCCATGCCCGAGGGGTACCTTTTGTGTGGTGTACACTGATTCTGGGCACTCTTTGCTGTAGGTATCCTCTTTCCTGATTAAAATGTGCCTCAGTTTCTCTTTTCCTATGGCTCTGCTTTGTTGCCACTGAGTCTTTTGGCTTCAGCTGCTCCGTATTATCCATGTGGCACTTCTAAACGCTTGTCTTTGCCAAGAGTTGTCTCTTTGTTTTCCTACGTTCCTCCTTTTGCTCTTCTTCAGCTTGCTTTTTTTTTATTCCTGGTAAGGCCACAATGTCTGTGGTCTCCTTCTCTTGCTGGGCTGCCCACGTGACTGTAGCACCACAGCTTGGCTGCCCCACTCAAACCCAGTGTGTTAGAAGTGAATTTCTTCCTTGCCCCGGTATAACAAATACAGTTTTGCCTTCAGCTCCTACATCCCTCCTCTAGAGGCATGACTGCATGGATGTGTGCAGGCAGGTTCTTTGGGCTTGTTGGATATGCAGATGACTTGATTGGAGTATTATATCTCCATCCTGCTGGTGTCTTCCCTGCTTGGCACTGCCTGGACTGCAGGGAATTGCCTTTGAGCTGGCTTACAGCTATTTTGCCCGGGCAGAAGGGATTCAAGTCCACCCTTGTGTATTATGTGCATGTACCTCCAGAGCTAAAAGTGCCTGGAGAGGGTGGCTAAAGATGGATGTCACCAGGGCACGGCCACATCTCTTCTCACGTTTCCACGAGTGGCAAAATTACAGTTTTGTGTCTTTCCTGCAGGTTCCTCGGCTGGTGAAGGTTGTCATGGAGCACTCACCTTACTTCAAGATGATCAACCCTAGTCCTATGTACCATAAGGTAGCACCTGGCCTGCGTGTAACTTTCCGCATCCGTTTCACCCCTGAGGAGACCAAGGTGAGAGCGGAGGTCCCAAGAGGTTGGTGACTTCAGTGGAAGCTGAACCTGCAGGGCTGGGTTCAGAACAGGGCATCTGGTGTGGGTTTTGAGGAACTGTCCTGCTTTCAGTGGGGGGTTGTCACTGGATCTAAAACTGGGGGCAACTCTTTCTCCGTGGTGAAAATTTATGCTCTTATAGGCTGGATGCTCTTAAATGTTTCAGACCGTTTTTATCCTTCAGTGCTGGGATGAGAGTCTGTCTGTGGTGGGGCAGCCGCGGAAGGTGGTGTTTCCTAGTCTCAGTCCATTGCTGCACAATTCTGGGTTTGCTCCACTAACTGTAAATACAAAAGTCTATTTAAAAGTGACCTGTTATTTGAAGGACCCCAAGTGAGCCTGATCAGAGTGAGGACCATCACCTTTGAGAACTGGAGTCACCTTGATGTATATCATGCTGGACACGGTAGTGAAACAGCTGAATGTCATGTCTAATGTCGTCACTTCATCTGCATGCTGGTTGTAGCCCACAGCCTGCTGTGAGGTCTGCTCCAGGCTGCGGCCAGGCAGTCCCGCCTTGGCATGGCATGGCACTGCTGCCCGCTGCGGCAGGGACTGACGGGCTGTGCTTTCCCTCCCTGCGCTTTCTTGAGCGTTCCCGAGGGAAGATGCAGATGGAACAGTAGGAAAATGGCTGGGAGGGATGTTAAGATGTTTAGCCATCTCTCTACTCTATGGTAGGTATTTAATTATTGTGGAAAATATTAGAGGAACAACTAGATCCAGAGAGCTTTTCTCTTTCCCATCTGGCAGCCACTTCCCTGCCTCACCCTGGGCTGGAGCAAAGAGGATGCTTTTTCACACCTCTGTTTTCAAGCCCTGCAGCTGTGCTGTCCCTGAGGACACTTCCCTGCCTGCGATGCAGCTGCGAGTCCAGGGGAGAGGGAGTGCTGCGTGTGGCAGGGAGCCAGCCGGGCACCGGCACGCTGAGCTCAGGGTGTCCTTGGCTCAGCAGAGGTTGGTGCTGCAGCTGCCTTTGAGACATGTGCCTGAAAGATGTCGTGTGGGAATGAACGGGCAGGTGCAGTCTGCAGGCACGTTACCCCGGAGCCTGCGGTGTGGCTGTGTCTCCGTGTGTTGTTGTGGTTGCTCTGCCAGGCGGCACCTGCTCCGTGCCAGACGTGCCACACTTTTGCTTGGAGATTTGGACTTGGGTGCTGTGACCCTGGCAAGTCTGATTCTCAGTGCTGTGATGTGAAGGGTCAGTGCCGTTATCCGAAGGTTTGTTGATCCAGAGGGTTTAGCACATGGCAAGGAAGGGAGGAAGCATTGCAGGGAAACAAAGACAGGCTGACTCTTCCGACCCGCATCCTGCTCCTCTTAGCACTGTTCTTCACGTGGCTTTGTTGGAGAGGCAGGTGTCAGGGAGAGCTCTGAGCCCGACGATGCGTCAGGCCCGGGGTGCGAGATCTCTTTTTCTCATCTTCCATCTGCTGCTCAGATTTAGTTTAACACTTTGTCCTTTCCTCAGACAGCATGGATATATGAAGCTGAAGAGGAGATATTCTGTGGTCTCTGGCTCCCCATGCTTGTGAAATAATCTGTTCCTTTGGAGGGGCTGAGAAATTATCTAATGTCATTAATATTTAGGGTAAAAATTATGTTGGCATAGGGCACTTCTCCATACTACCCGAGTGACACAAGCTTTATCTGGCTGAGATGCAAAGTACACTGGTGCCTCTGAAATGTGATTTATTACTGTTAATTAGTCTTCATTTTTGGTGTGCAAGAGGTAAATCGGTGCCCATGAAGGGCAAAGTGCTGCTCTTGCAGTTTAGAGAGGCAGCAGAGCAACGTATGAGCATCACCACAGATAGAAGTAGGGTGAGATAACCCCGGAGAGCACTAACGTCCGGTACTTTGTCCCTTGTCTTGCCCTTGAACTGGCAAGTGTACGGAGTCGGGAGCTCTGCCAGCGGGAGAGAGGTCTTCTGCACAGCTTCAGCGACACCCGGCGGTTTCTGCTGAAATGGGTTTGCGCTCCTTGTAGAGGTTGTGCAGGACATTGGGAGAGGGATGTGTGCTGCTCCGTGGGGATTTATCCAGCAGAATCAGAAATTTGTACAAACGGAACGTTTTGTCTCGTACTTGATGAAGTCAGCGCAGTACCGGGGTCGTGCAGCTCAGCTGGAAATGCATCAGTAGTGCAGTCAGGAGGTGCACAGCACCTTGAAAACCCCTTGGCAAAGAGGCAGGCTTTGGGAAATGGTTCTGTAAAGCCCCACCCCTGTCCCTATAATGCCATGAGAAGGGGAGAGAAACGCACATAGACTCTACACTCACCTGAGACTGCAACGATTCTGGTGTCCAGCTTGTCAAGTATTTCACCAAAGATCGACTGTCAATCGTGCATGTGGCACCGTCCTTTTGAAGATGTGCCTGAGCATCCCCTGCCAAGCTTCAGTGATGTGGCTGCATTGCTGGGATTGGAGATAGGGCCGTGGCACAGCTGGGTTCCTAATGGTGCCTTTAATGGTCTGCAGAGGTGATCGAAGCAGGTTCTGTTACTGCTGTAATCGCCTACATGACATGGCTCTATTTTGGTGCCTCAGAATCAAAGTATGAGATAATTTTGTCTGGTTCTGCCAGCTGGCTGCACAAGCGGGTGAATCAGTGGGGCTGTTTCTTCTTGGCAAGTTAACAGCCCTGTCCAAGTCACGGGCGTGAAAGGTCCTTAAGGTGAAAAGTACTATTGCCTTATTGAATGTAACTGTTGGAGTCATAGAAACAGCAGTTTTCATCTGCTGAGATTGTTTCTTTCCCTGCAGGATTATTTCCACCAGCTCACCTGCATCACAGAAAGAGAGAAGTTTATTGTGCCCATCCGAGCCATAGGTGCGCGAGCTATCCTGGACTTCCCTGACCAGCTGAACTTCTCCGTCTGCCCAGTGAAGCACAGCACCCAGAAGACTCTGCTGGTTCGCAACGTTGGTGATCGGGAGGCTCGATACCGCATCAGCACGGAGAGGTAAAGGAGCTCAACGTCTTGCTTGTGCAAAGCGTTGCTGCGTGATGGCGTAGCTGGTAACCGGTACCAAAAAGGGACCAGAGCATCTGAGCTGCTGCGTTGCTGCCGTAGCTGGAAACGGGCAGGACATGTGGGTTTTGCAGTTGCTTGCGGTGTTTTAAGCATGATGCAACCTTTGGTATGACACTGCCAGCTGCAGCAAAGTTTTGTGCTGCAATGGTGCGTCTCCAGCGCGGCATTTAGCAGGCTGATTCTGTTAGAGGGAGCGGCAGAATGCAGGAAGGCAGCGTGACTGCCCTTGGGCTGTGCGAGGTACCGCACGGCAGGTGGCAGCTCCAGGAGCTCAGGCCATGCAGACCACATACAGTGTTAGGAAACGGTCAGCTATGAGCTGGTGGGACAGACATCCGAGAATTTATCAGCAGCCGCGTCGATATTAGCAAGTGCAGTCAGAATCGTAGATCAAAGCGATTGGTGTTGAGGCCCTGACAGTAACACTGTGTGCTCCAGGAACTTTCTTTTCCAGTAGCATTGATCTGGTCCCTAGAACCAGATATTCTGAAGTAGAATGGGCTCCTGAGATGGGCAGGCAGTGGCTTCAGAAGGGCACTGCAGCCCCAGACCAGAATGCTGACGAGGGCACAGGCAAAAGGTGCAGCAAATACCTGGTGCACAGGTTGGAGGCCTTTTTCCTTCTAGAGCTTTCTCTCCCAGATTTTCTGGACAGTGCTAGAATGTTAGTAGCCAGCTTGCAACCACGTCATCGTAAGTACCTTCTGCAATGGTTACACACCACAGTCAGCTAAATCCACCCGTTCTCTGGGGGCCACAAACACGTGGTATTCCGGTGGTCCCCTGATCAAACTGGCCTGACATGAGTTGTGTTGTGGACAGGCTGTACTGTTCCTTCTGGTCTCAGAAGGCAGTCACCAGTTTTCCAGTTTGCTGCACTGGAGAGGGTAATGCCTTGTTGACACCACATCTGCAAGGCAACCGGTTCAGTTGGCTGGTAATTAGTTGAGAGTTGCTTGTTCCCAGAGGTCTCGGTGTAGGAGCTTTCTATACCATAGGATACGGTATAGGTCATTCTATACCATATAGGTCAGTCTGTACCATCGGATCTTCTGAGGGCTGGATGTCTGCGGACGGGAGATCAGTAGCTCTGTTTCTAATCCTGTGTTGTGTTTTTCTTGTCCTGGCTGTGGTTTGTTTGCTCCTTTCTTGCACAAGTGAGCTGAATTGAGCTATACTGCAAAAGGAATGTAGTCCCCAAATCTCCCACCATAGTCCTGATCTCTCTCTTTGTGTTGCAGCCCTTTCTCTGTCGACGTCTCCATTGGCACCCTTGGGATTGGTGATGCCACGCAAGTGACAGTGGAGTTTCACCCGCTGAAGACCGGGGATCATTCCGGGTCCCTGGTGGTTCACCATGACACAGGTAAGTGCTGGGTGCTGTGTGGTGCGCACTGTGTCCTTCAAAACAGAGCCCTTTCTAAGCAGAGTAGCATTAAGTTTGCTTTGTAAACTACTCCTAAAATGTTTCCGTTCAAAACCTGCACGTTTCAGTGCTTAGAGATGAGCAGATAAGAGGCAAAGGCTGCTGAGTCCTTCTGCGTGTCCTGTGTCGCTGTGCTGGTCCATCCCTGGGGGACCCTGGTGTCAGCACGGTGTTTTCCACCCAGCACCCACCCTGTGACAGTCATCTACTGTCATCCCCCATTGTCCCAGCCAGCTTACTGCCCTCTCCAGCTGCACCTCTCCTATCCCAGCTTCACCTCAAATAAGAGTGAAAAATAGCTGGTGATTAGGGGATTGTTGAAGTTAACCCCTACAAAGAGGAAAGAGACTTTGGAAACCTGTTTTGCTGGGAGTTGCTGAGTGGAAGAAGGAAAAATGCTGACTCTCCATCACAGTGTGCGTATGTATGTGTGAAGTTTTATTCCCAGGCAGTGTTTGAAGTGTAACATGGGGAACGTGTGTCTCCATTAGATGCTTTCCAGTGCTCGTGGTCTCTTACGCACCTCTGTCCCGTATACGGCTTCTCCATCGTCTTGCCGTGGACCCTTTTCCTGTGTTGCCCTCTACCCATCTGCATCTGGCACTTCCCAACATCAGGACTCGAGCAGCCAGTGCTTGAGGGCTCTTGGGATTTGGCAGGAGGTGCTCACTGCTTCCCGAGACAGGTGTAAAATTTATAGTAGGGTACGAGAAGCCAAGATGGAGCCACAGAAATACCGTCAGCTTCGTAAGTCACTCCAAGAGTACGTGGGGGAACTCAAGAGAAGCGTGCGACATGTTAAAAGGCTTCTGTCGGCCTTGGTTCAG